TAAAGTGGAACCACACTTTCCTAGGAAAAATCCTGGCTACGGCCCTGCCTGAAGCCATTCAGACATGAAATTTTCAAAGATTTCCAATAAATGTAGTTTATCTCAAAATCTAATAGACCTGTTTGCATTTTGAATAATTTTAATATCTAGGGTGTCGATTGGAGATCGCCAGGCCCATCTGTTCGAAAATTCGGAAAATCGGCAAAAAAATGCCTTGGAAAATTGAAATTTTTTTTTGGAGTAAAGTTCGAAATCTATTTTTCATATTTATGCCAAAACTAGCTTCTATGCCAACTTTCAGGTCATTCTAGCCAGCAGAAAAATCGCGGGCCGAAATAGGTTAGTATTCATTTTTGAAGAATTGTTTTTTGTCATTGCATGTAAATTTTTTTTTCCAAAAAAACCTGCATTTGAATTGAAAGTATTGAAAGGAAGTCAAGTTTCATTAGGTACGGTTTTGGACAAAGTAATAGTGAATTTTTTCATCAATTCATTTGTCCGCTTTTTTAAAGTTAAGCCAATTGGTTCAAAGGTAATTCATGAATGATGTTCTTGTTACTACCAGAATTCGTTGCTGAGAAACTTGTTCGAAAGCTATATTCTATATGATTTCGTCAAAATACTGTTTCAGCCGATTCGAAGAGAAAAAAAAACGTGGCAACTCCACTGAAGAAAATGTTCAATTATAATTTACCTATATGCCACGATGTGGCGCTACACTAAGTCTATGTTGAGTTTATATTACAAAACAAAAAGCTCAAAACAAGAAGTCTCTTGTAGTTCAACTGCTCCATGCAACTTACCCATTGAGCGCTAGCGTCGTATGAGGGAACACAACGGAAAGACATATCCGTAGTTTTCTCGTTGTCTAACAAATGAAGACCGTATGTTTTGACCAAAATTGATGCAATTTACTGGAAATTTTCTCGTTCTCTTTTGAATTTACTACATTCAAAGCACTTTTTACAATCTGAAACAGACAACAAATGATAAAATTAGTAACTTCTATGACTGTGTTAGAAAAAATATGCGTTAACATATGTACGAATGGAAAAATGATTGAAATTTAATTAATAATAGAATTGGCAAAGAGCACCAACAATTAGAACTGATAACATATCGTATAGTCGGCTAATTTTAATGCGTTCCAAGAGCACGAAAAAATCTTAATATGACCAATTATCCTCTTGTGTTCTTTCTCGTTTTTCTGAGGGGACCGTTTTCGTGCATTCCTTTGTGCACGCACATTTTCTGATTACCACGTGACTAACCGTACAACTGCATGGTGCACGCTCTCGTCCCGACAAAAAGAGCGATCATTATACACAATACTATACGTGTGCAACATTCCGAAAATGTTCATGATACCGAAATTGATTTTTTTTTCGTTTGTCAGATTTTCGTCCAAACCAAATTAAGGCATCACCACTGGTATTCGAAGCAGTGTGAGCTGTTGGTGGCACCATTACAATTGATTTGATTTATAGAAATAAAACATTTTATTTTTATAAACAATTGAAATGATAGTTAAGGTAAAGAGAATTTTTTTACATGGGTCATTCACATAAAAAACTGTCAAATATACTTCCATGGTGCGATAGCAGCAAAGACTATCTGCACTGCACATTCCTATAAAACTTGTGTATGATCAACGATGGAGCTAAATTAAATGAGAGTGTCAATGTTATATGTTCGATAGGATTTCGACGTCTGGAACGTAGCATAGCATTTCCATTTTGGGAAAAAACTTGATGTTCTGTCACAAAATTTAATATTTGAATCATTTAAAAGATATTAAGCAGGATTCGGTACATTCTTTTCTGGTATCTGCTGACATCAGTCTGATTATTATTTTGAAATATTTTTTTGATTATGTTAAAATATAATACAAACTTCAAATATATAAAAAAGGGTTCTAAGGGTCTCTCAAAGAAACTCTTCATGCACATTGCACACTCTATATTTTGCATTTGATTTCAAAAAGAATCGTTTATTTTTCTTAATAGTTTCGATAGTTGGAAATGCAATCATTTATCGAACTGGAAGTACAAAAAATCGGCTACATTTCTGGTAATTGATATAATGCAGATTCGAATATGCTCTTTGATTGAAAAAGAAGAATGTTTCTCTTAATTTGCAGATTAACTACTGGATTTTCGAACGCCACCACTCATTCTATCGTTATACTTCGATAATTATACTGCCACCGAAATCAGCGCAAAAATGAATACAGAGAGACAGAAAAAGAAATGTTGACTGGGTATGTGTGTGCGTCTGCTTAATCACGATACACCGATGCTATGCCACGATAAATTAGCTGTGGAATGTGGCTACAATTTACCGTGTAGTATTTTATTCATGCCGGTTATTTAGCGGCCAAAGTGTTTCTGTATGACTGTGATGTGCATCTCGTGCACAATTTAAACAGTGTGGAGCAGAAGAGAAAGAAACAAAGCACAAAAGCAGAACAGCACTGACGCAGATTTGGATGTACAACACCAATCGATGCGCAAGTATCGAATAGACCGATTTATAACAGCACATCCTCCGGAATTCAGAAGGGCTAACAGGCACACGAAAAAAAGAGAAAACTAATTATCGTCAACATTTTTATTATACAGAAAATGACCTGTATGTGTTATCCACATTCTTTAGTATGATATTTTGAATGTGCAGGACCCTAACAATTTTGCGCAGTCAGTCTTACCGTACATGTGTGTACAACGGTAGCTTAATAACACACTTTACAGAAATCAAATGTTCATAAGTAAAAATGAAAATTATAAGTTCTTTTCGATTGGAAATACAGACGCATATTTACAGCGGCCAGAGAGAAGACAACAAAATTGATTCGCGCTGAACATTGGTTGGCTTGTTATGTGTGTGTACAGTCGGTTTTACCTAATGAATGCCTATAACATCGATTAAACTATGCTGTTGAATTTTCATGGCGTCTGATCCATAGAATAGGATCGGAGGGCATATCAATCCACACGGTCGCCTCCTTCGATTGACTAAATTCAATACGTGCCAAATTGTTGACTATTAAAACTGGTGACAAAATTAATATTAGAGATATGCTATTGGATTTTTACTAATAGGATGGTACATCGGAGTTGTACAACGTTTACTGTTGCAATTACCTGAAGACTTCATCGCATATTGTTAGACAAATACCAATTTAGCTATTGTATTTGCAGTATTCTTCTATTCAATCAATAGTACCAATCACGTCTACCATTAACGAATATCGCCTGGAAATGGAATTTCATACAGCATTTAAATATATCCGATTACTGCAAAGAATCTCTTAATCTTATGCTGATCGTTTCTCCAAAAGTTTACGGTTTTTCTGTCATCTATCTTTCCATTTATTCGGAATGACTCTGTTTTCGTATATTAGATATCCATTGGTGGGAGGTAAAATAGCGCATGTTCTTTTTTCTTCAATTTGAATATTTGAAAAAGAAGTATGCATACTTATTTTCAGTCGATTCTCTCTGACTAAAACCAAGGCATGTTTCTTTGGTACACACATTACGGAATGACATGTGTCAACTGTATGAATGTCTGTTCAGTTCACTCGCAATGTGAAGTGCAAATCAGGCCCAAGTTTATGGATTGGTCGTTGAGCGTCAATGCTATCAAAGTTTGTCATTTAGCTTGCACTGAAACATACTTCCTTTTATTGCTTTGAAATGGACGAACCAACGTTCTTTTTCGTCTCACCAATAGATATGCAATATTACGATTTTGATTGATTTGCATTTGTCTGGTTATATCGTCTTTTGTATGATCGTTCTTTTTGACGTGCTACATATGCGTGGTGGACGACTGGTGGTAGAATGTTCAGTATCGATGTCCATGAAACTTTTGAATCGTTTCATCCTGAACATTTTATGGTGGTTTTTAAATAGTTCTCGTAATAAAAAAAAAGAATACGTGAAACCACCGTCGAGTCAATTTACATGCTGTACATATTTACATCACTTTGTTCATTTTCTGATGTTTCCAAATGTTATATTGATAAAATGCAATTACGCTTTGCGGAAATGTACAAGGGTCAATTAAAAATTCATTACAGTTTTGGATGGTAATTTGAGTTTGTGGTTTACCAAGATTTCCTAGTGTTGGCTATGACAATCCAAATAAAATCAGCAGAGGTAATTTCTGTTTCTATTAAGAGATATTTTTTGGTTTGTTTTTCGAATTTAATTTCAATAAAAACAATCCCTATTCGGATAGAGTACATGAAATAAATATAAATTAATTAATTTTCGCGTTTCGACATATTTATCTAAATATCAGAGCGAACGTTTGGACCAACAACGATGTATGAATCTGCATTGATTTCAGCGTTAATGATTCCTTTTATTCATACGTTGTTCGGTTCACTTCAAAGTCGGGATAATTTTGAGCATCGGATGCAATTTCGCATTAAGTGAAATAGCTCATATAATTTATACGCCTGAGAATATGGATCGTAAAATAAACGGTTGGACATAACTAAATATCCATTGCAAATTAAAATCAAATATTCATTGCACGGCTCACAAAATGAATGTCCATTTGGGTCGTACGACCCAATCCAACACGGACCTGACAATGAGAAATGTGAGGGAGAAAACGTCAATAACGAGTTAGTAAACGCGTCAAATATTGGCACAGGTTCAGTTTCGAAACAGTATTTAGAAAAATGAGACAATGAATTATTAGTTGGTTCCACGCATACAATATCGATCAATTATACACCGGACGTTATTAAAGTTAGAGATTGATGGACTTCCCATGGGAGTCTCTCTCTCCCTCATCATGCCATACTAGGCAACAGTCATTCAATAATTTTACTCAGCAACGTCTTCTGAGAAGGAAGACTCTTCTCATTTCATGCCAACTTGCCAAGTGTGCACGATGCCACAGTTTCTCCACAAACAATAAACTCATGCATTTCAATTTACTCATAACTTCTAAAGAGTTGAATTCCTAACTCGGTATGTGCACCGACAATCAAACACATCTTCGTATATTTTCATTTGCATTTTGTGCATTTTCATGTGCGTTCTGTCGTTGTCTTACATGAAATATTCTTGTTTTCCATTTTGCCTTTTCCTCATTTTTATGTTTATGTGTTACATAGCATTCAAATAGGTTTCATTACATCGGTTTATAAATGATTTATTGAAATAATACTCAATTTTGGCTGATGCTCATTCAAACAGTATTTGCGGAATGGTTTTCTTTCGCCTAAGCGTTTTTGTCTTTACATTGAACTTTTATCAATCAAATACAACGTTCTTACGTTTATTCATCACTTTATTGTATCAATTATTGTATTTCGGTAGCTAACTAAAGAAGCAACTCTCTACAGCTGATTGTTTTTATTCTTCATGAACGAAAATTAAAAAAAAAGCCCATCTAGAATTACGTTCTTTTATAAACATAACAATGATGTATATGATGATGAATATGAAGTATAAAAATATTTGGTGACCAGTATTCTTAAACCATATGTGTTTCACTACTTTCAATTTCAATTATATATGCTTCGTTTTCTCATTCTACTCTCCCAACTGCATAATGCGTTCACAAATGGTTTGCTGCAGTAAATGTAAATGTGCAAATGAATTGTGCGCTCACTTGACCATTTCGTGTATATGCAATTTATGGGCCATAAATCATAAATGGTTAATTGCGCAATTAAAAAGAGTACTCAATGCTCATTCCATTTGTATTTGGATAAATTTTAATTAGATAGATTTATCCATTGATTGGTTCACCATGATGGGTGAAATGGAAAATGATAAATATGACCAGGATTATTCAGAGACTAAACCATTAACCGAATGCATTCGATGCATTAGTTCCAGATGCATCAATTTCTGGTCGATCATCACACCGGAAAAAAATGACCACTTGAAAATGAATTTAGTTGTAATTATTATACATTAGGTTTATTTAAATTCTACAAAT